GTTTCATTGTCACACGAACTATGAGGATGAGTGATTTTCACTCAACTCATAGTTCTCCATTAATGCAGGATCAAAAAATGGTAGTTAGTTTTCCATGCTATTGCATTGTCTGGCTATTTAACTTTTGCTGGCTCCAGGTCCTCACTAGACACCATTTTCTGCAACATGTATTTACAGACCCTCCAACTGCACTGATTTAACTGGTTAATTATCAGTTTTCAAAAATGCATTTGAAAGCATTTGCCAACCTGTACTGGTTTTCCACGTGCAGCTATGACCCCAGAATGAGCCACTTGTAAATTTTGGATCACCCTACCTGTCCAAAAGTTACCTTCTGCCTTTTTCCAGCTACAGCAATTCAGCCAGGATAAATATATGACTCTGTGAGATCAGTCACAGTACTTGTAGTGCACCAACTGGCTTCTTCTATTCTGTATAATACCTGAATCTGTGGGCGAGAAATCTGGCTTACAAGGTCCAGACAGCAGCCCCCCTTTGCTCCTCTGTGACACACTTCAGTAAGTAGATCCTTTCTCCAGCCCAGCCTTCTTCATGTTTCTTTCAAGCCATACCTCTGAGTCAGCCTGCTCAGGGATTGTCCAGAGTCAGATATACAGCCATAATCTGGTAATTGACCCTCCCACACTGTATACTGGAGCCCCAACCCAGCAACAGAGGGAAATAATTATTGTCACTTTATTGTCGTAAAAATATACAATTTCTACACCAATGCCAATGTGAATACAGTATATACTGTGACGATAATGGGGTTTGAGTCTAATATTATTAAATTTAGCATTCTCTTGTTCAGAGCAAATGCAGGCCTTCATTTAGTCATTTATCAGGCCCCTCCACATTCCAAGGACAGAGATCTGCTTATCTGGCCTGTGATCTTTATTGCCCCAGCACCAGTGAGAGTCCCAAATCACCTCTAAACCTTTTATAGCTGTCCCTAAGTAAAGCCATGTCACCCGGCATTAATTTATTACCAGTGGACAAGTTGATATAAACACAAGTAGGTCTGGTAGGGTTAATGACCCAGGTGACCCAGCATTCACCCACAAGTTATAAACCTGAGTTACAATATCAGCTCCATTTCATAATTTGAAATTGGACAGTGATATTGTAAAATAAAGGCTCGTCCCTCCTGCTCTCCATCCCCAGCCCTGCCCTAGGGGCCGGCTCCATGACGCCCCCTAGAGGGCGGACAAAAGGATGTTGCCGAGGCAGCTAGAGGGGCTCTTGTTTTGAAACATCACAAAAGGAACTCCAGCAACATCAAGAACTCAACATTGCGGAAGAGTTCCCCTTTAATATCTGGAGCAAAGCCCTTCAGACTTCTCTTTGACTTATTGAACTCTGAACTCTAACAGAACTCCTAAACCTAGGACTGTTAACTATTCACCTTTTATACCCTTTTATTTTAATGTTGTATATATATTTTGTCTCTTTTTATTAATATATTTTTCTGTATTTTTTCTGCACCGTTTCTATAAATAACCTCCCTGATTGGGAATTCTGGGGGTGCTGCCTGATCCATACCACAGTCAATAGAGTACAGTAAAAGTGCAGGCAGGGCAGTGGACAAAGCTCTAGGGACAAAATTGAAGTGAAATAGTTTGATACATATATTTAATTATGCCAGATTACATTGTATTCTGTGTATTCTGTGTATTCTGTGTAAATGTCATGTTTGCACTTTTGAATTTCCCACCGGCTCCGCCCCCCGCTGTGATGCCCGAAAATAAAACTGAAAGCCGCATGCCGACATCGGCCGGGCGCACACAGCAAAGGACACCGCGGGCTCGCAGGGACAAGGTAAGTGACACTTTTGCGCAATCCCGAGTGTGGCTCGGGGTTACCGCTCTTGGTTCTGAAAATTAACCCCGAGCCACACTCAGGAATACCGCCAGGGAGGTTAAAGGATGATCTTAAAATAAAGCTTGTCTCTACGCTCTACATACAAACTTAAAGTATCTGAAGAGCGCTACCATATATAGAATCCTGTCATATTCCTGTCTTAAAGGAAGACAGATGTATCATAGGCATTGTTTAAGTGTTTAAATTGTCACAGCACTTACTGGGCATGGTCCGTGTTTCCGTTAAATAACATGTGGTGGCAGCTAACGTTTGGTTGGTAAAGGGTTAACTGCGGAGATAACCAACCCGGGGGACAATCGCTCTCAGTCTGCTGGCCTGAGATTGTGTCCCGCGAGCTGGGAAATCTCTGTGCAGGGTGAGGCTGAGAGTGGTATTGCCACGTCCTTGTGATGCCACGCTCGGTTCATAACTGTGTATAGTCATGTGTGATTGACGTACAGCGGCTTTGGGCCAGATGTACGTCACATATGCCACGGCCGTAAAAACTAAGAGATCTGTTATGAAAATGAAACAGCAACCACCTGCACACATCATCCACATTCAAAATGTAGTGCACCTAACATTGCAACATGCAATCCGGCATTATAACGGTGTGAGCCTAAATCATTCCCTATAGGCAGCTCTGCCAATGTTAGCTCATAGGTCAGACATATTTCATTGCTATAACTATTAGAAAGATGACCCAGGGCAATGAGATGCAGCTCCTGCTGGAAAACCTACATGTAGACTTGCAGTGATTGAAAGAGGCTGGAGGAGATCAGCAGCACTGAGATGCAAAAACATATGCAAACAATACAATGAGAACTTTCTATATGGAAAAAAATTGGTAATTGTTTAAGAAACTTTAGCAAACACAAAATGTTATCCAGTTATGGCTTAGATGTGCTTTAATGTCATGATTTTCCTTGTGTTTCATCATTTCTTTTATGCAGAAAGATTGAAGTTTAAGTGACACCCATTATATGCTAACTTAAATTGATATTAAAGTCAAAAGGTTTTTAAGCTCTTTCAAATGCTGAATACATCTCTTACAATGGATGCTGCTCCTTGGTGTTGAAATGTATTAGTTTCCTGCAGAATTAGCTGCTTCCTGAGCACTGGCCCTGACATCCTGTTTTAGGGTGGCTCCTTTTCTTCGCAGGGTCCTATGGAGCCACCTTTGTTTGTGCCAGTAAGCTGTGTGTGTATCCACAAACACACAAGCACAGCAGAGCAAGCCACTCCCCTGCTCCTCATTCCTCTTACCTCCAAGCTAGTAGAAGGACGGCTGCTGCAGACTGAACGTTACCTTTTGATCTTGTACTTGACAAGAAGTTCAGGGATGCATAACTGAGAAAGTTAGAGTTAGCTGTTCAGAAATATGATGACTGTGCTTGGACAAAAATTTTAAGAAATACTTAGCTGGGCAATGTACAGTATATTTGTTTGACCTGTATTCATTATTGAAAACAAGTTTAAGAGATTACTTTATCATTTTCCCTGCCACCAATGTATGTCATACATCTGCAGCAGCGACCCCTGTAAACAGACACTTGGTGGCTATAGCCATCAGGAGCCTGTTTACTTGTGTAAAGCACAGCCTTTACACTGGAAGTGATTTGGGTGGCTGTAAATTCACTTGACTGCTTCCAGAGGCAGGTAAACATGTGCCCCACCCCCACCCCAACATCCCCCCGCCTTGCTTTCCGGACTCCGCCACCCCTCCTGCAGGCCCTGGACCAGCATTGTGCATGTCGGTGGGTGAATGAAAGTGGAAGTGATGTTCATGACACCAGTTTCTGAGCTGTCATTCTATGGCTAGAGAAGACAGGGAAAAAGCTGATCAAGCATGATCCCTGCTTGATCAGCTTCAATGGGCTGCAAAGGTGACATTTGGGGTCTAATCGACCCCTAATGTCACCTTAAAGAAAACCTGTCACCACTAATATGCTATCACATAAAGGCTTGTAATCCTCTCCCATGTGATAGCAATGAAGTTAATAAAAAAAAATGTTTTTTAAAGAAATTAAAGTTAAATAAAAATACATTTAAAAACACCCCTAAAAATTTGTATTGTCCCCCCTCCCCACGCACCCGCACATACTAACATAAACATGCGTTGGTGCACCTACGTATGTAAACGGCAATTTCGCCACACATTTTGAACCCATGTTATTCTACAGGGTCTCTACATTCAGGAAATATATAATACTGGGGGCTTTAAGTAATTGTCAGGCCTAAAATGTGGATCAAAACATTTAGGGAAAAAAATAGCAAAAACGGTTTTGGCAGCAAAAGGGTTAAAGTCAATTTCCAAGAAGGAAAACGACCCTTTTAGTGGGGAAACCCCCAAACTGCTAGAGTTAACTGCTAATTTTTAACTGCTCATTTTGTCAGTGTGTTTACTATATCCACAATCAGGAATGAACAGGAAGTGATGTAGATCACTTCCCATTCATTCATAATTGGGGACACAGTAAATATACTCTGTCCTCAATTATTTACAAACACTCAGCGATCACTGATCACTGAGTGTTTCTACCCACTCTCCATACTGTCACAGGAGGCTGAGCAAGCGGTGTGGGGAGGAGACCTCGATCTGACAGCTGACTCTTCCCCCACACCGCCGGCCGGCCTCCTGTGACAGCTGACAGCTTTCACCACCCACACACTCCTCTCCTGATTTGTCACCGGAGGATGAGCGGTGCGGGGTGGTGCCGCACCACTCGGCCTCCTGGTACAGTTTCTCTCCTCCCCACTGGGACATAGAGCAAAAAATGGCATTAATCAATAGCTAACACACTAACGTATAAAAAGCATTTGGGGCAGAAAGTAGGACTCCATGGGAGCAATACTGCCTCTTAATATTGGCTGAAAAATTAGAGAAAGGACCTGTTTGGTTTGCTATGGGTTGACACCTCTCAATTTTGCAGTTTCCAGAAACATATTTTCCTATAAATCAGTATGCTGTCCTATATGGCGGTATTATTATTATTATTTCTTGGCCAGCTGTAGTAGAAAACCATGCAGGTCTCATAACTCAGTCCACATTAACCTCAGTCCTTTGTAAATTATAGATGTCATTTACACTGACTGTGACTAGTCACTGGTAAAATGTTATTGTTCGTATTTTTTTTTAGATATCGATGAATGTTTGGATGAAGTGAATCCCCCATGCCATTCTTCTGCAACATGCAAGAACACCCAAGGCAGCTATGAATGCACCTGCACAGATCCATACCAACTCACTGAAGATAAAAGGACCTGTATAGGTAATACATTCTAACACTTCATTATTTACTTGCTGTGGGATCTGGTGCAGATCCACTCTCCATTAAACATATACGCTTAAGTAGCTTCTGCCATCTCTAGTTCATCATAGAAAGCTGTGCCAAGAATAAATGTTAAAGACCTCATTAAACATTGCCCTCTTACTCTGGAATACAGTGTGGTCTCTAATAAACACATTCTTGCCAAGAAATAGGCAGCTTAATGATTAGAACTTAGAATTAGAAAGTGTCCACCCAGCAGACTGGCAGACTAAGAGCTCAAGATAAATAGAAAATGGAATTGTATAAATACTTTGGTTGGTAATAATAATAAAGATAATTTATAATGTGTTGTCATATGTGGGTGCAAGATCAATTAAAGCATATGTCCAGCTAAAACCTTTTTCTTACTTTAAGATAGAGTGAGGAAGGATTTAAATCCTTGACCGGTTTTGACTGCTATTCCGTGCTATTTTCACTCACTTCCGGTCCATATATTAGTGTTTACCAGACAGGAAGTGAAGGTAACACTCCAACAGCAACACAGTCAGAACTTAACATTCTTTTCTTTAATTTTTATTATTAGAGTAGGGGAAGACTATGGGGGCATTTATCAAAACTGGTTCAGACAGAATCTGGAGCAGTTCTCCATGTCAATCAATCAGCTTCTCTCTTCAGTTTGTCAGTTAAGATTTGAAAATGAAAGAGAGAAGCTGATTGGTTGCCATGCACAGTTTCTCCAAAATGTTTCTGCTCCAGTGTTGATAAACTCCCCTCTATGTCTTTTCTTTAGTTTTCTTTAGTAGAGTAAAGGAAATCACTATGTTAGCCTGATAAAGGAACCGCTGTGGGTTCTGAAACATCACTGCTACATGTGATACCATGTATATATGATGTTAAATAAAGATGCTTTGATACATTGGACCTTGGTGTGCGGTTGACTACCTTATCTATTGTATTACAGAAGTTAGGAACCATCACACAAACTGGGACACCACCCCTATATATACAATATATATCAAAAAAAGGGGAAAAAGAAAGAAAGGGGCTTTGTGGTGACCACTGAAAAAATATTACCTTATCTATGTCTGGATTTGTGTGGCGCGATCCACATATATATTGGGATTCCAGTCTGGAGTGCCATGGGACTTGGATATGATTAGGAAAAGAGTTGAACCCCTGTTAGGTTTTTATTTCTGTCTGTGTTCCTGTTGCAGATTTTCTCTCACTTCTTGTCCAGTGAAACTTTTGTGAACAGGACCGTGAACTCCTAAGACTGTTCAGAAAATGCATTGACTGTGTAGAAGTAATTCCCTCCATACCTCTATCTGAGTCCTATGTAATACACTGCCATCAGATACCTAAAAATTCCACACAAGTATGGTGGGAGGGCCTGCATTCTCTTTTGCATTGCATTGAATATGTGGTGGAAGTAGACTTTAATGACAGAATAGCGGTGGGTACCAAGAATAGGGGGGAGCAGAGTAATTTCAACTCAACAATAATGAGTCCAAGATGAGTCCAAGATAGTTTAAAGGAGCTTTCATAACTGTCAGGAGCCATTTACCTTGTCACCCTCTAAAAATACCTTAATTTTGTCCTTCCCCCAATGACGGCAATGCATTTTGCTAAAATGTTTTTAAAAGCTTAGGAAAATGAAAACGTTCCATTTAATTTATTCCCAACCAAGTACGAGAAGGGAGTCAGGTGCTTTTGTCTACTAGCTAACAACATAGTTCTGAACATATAAAAAGCTTGCTTCTCAGTCATTTCAAAACTAATTCAACTATCTGACCAGTAGCTGAATGAATTGACTTAATGAAACCTATTAATTTAATTTGGTGCCCTATCCATGCTGTCACGCTAACCCTAAGCAATTCAATAGGAAATAATTTTCTAAATTGAATAAATTGCATGCTGCAGTTAACCCCAGAAAGACTAGAAATGAAATGTTAGAAGATAAGATAATTAAATTTATTATCTCGGCACATTTTTTTTTTTAACTACAGATCGATAGAACAGATAGCCTTTGGGCCAACTAGAAATGAAATGACAAAATCAAAGTTTTGTTACATCAATGAGATGAGAAGCTTAGTATATCAAGGAGGTAGAATTTGGCACTCATAAGAACAGATAAAAATATCCAGCGTAAGTTCATAATTTAATTGTTACCAACCATGGTATATATTAAGGGATAATGGCATTAAAAATGAATTGGTTGTGCGCATTATCAGTTTTTTATTCATAGTAAAACAGTTTTCTACAGTGTATCAGTATCACTAAGGCAGTATAAGACATTTCACTGTAAACCACATGACTATAAACATAATGGAGGCCATTTTCAATAACTTTCGAAACAGAAAGCGGCTACGCTGCCACTGATTTGCAGCATCTCTTTTCCACCATGTGATTTTCCATTAATTTGTCCACCGCTACTGTTATAGGCAGCACAATTACTGCAGCCAAGTCTCCTCTCACCTTAAGTAAAGTATGTCCATTTTCCTGTTAGATCGTCTATGTGTGAGTCCTATTGTTGTTAATATATGTACCTTGTTTGCTTTCTTTTCAACAGTGCTTATGGACTAAAACAAAGGCAGCTGGTTGGACACTGCCCACAATCTCCTCTGCCTTTTTTTGAATTTTTATAATAAAAATTTTTGAAATTAAAAAACAAATACTCACTAAGAAACATGTTGGAAAGTGCATGTGTTGTTCAAAGAGAGCATCACATAGTATGTAACAGAATTAGCCCTAGTGCCTTCTGGTTAATGATCAGTACAAATGTAAACTGCCCTATTTATATAGAGTTACATCTACACTGTTAGAATGGGTTCCTCTCTTCATTAATGAATACATCTCTTAGGGGGTGTTAGCTGTCATGGTTGCGATGAATGAAAACCATGGCTTCTACAAGTGTAAGGCTTGGAAGGCCATGAGAGAAGATAATCAGTCACATTGTGGGACACCAACAAACCACTAAAACCACATTACCTTTTATAAGGTTTTTAAATGCCATTCCAGTACAGCCATGAAAATCCTTTATGCATGATTAGGCAATTGTGTATCTAGCACCCCTGGCTTAAAGCTTGAATGCATTTTAAAGTATAGTTCTATTTGCTCAGGCTTTAAACATGTGGGCGTATTTAAAGCAAAGTACAAGTTGTAAGTACAGTTGCCTTCAACAGTTATGTACAAATTATTTTACTGAAGTCAGATGGACTGTAAATTGGCTGCTATTCTAGCTTAGTGCACAACCTAACACTTCTTAGGACGTGGTGAAATGCCACCCCGGTGGTAACAGAATAAGCCTCTGTCAGCTAAATGCATGGGACTGTCTGGTGCAATAGCAACCAAAAGTGGCTCTTATGTTCTTATATTTGCTCCAAACTAGAGTTCAGAATTTAGGTAGAGAGAAGGAGAAAGAGTAACGGCCTATGTCCAGACTGCATGATTTAAGCGATGTATACAGTAATCTAAAGTGTATGTAAAAGCATTATTTTTTTTTGATAGAGTAGGGAAGGGTTAAACCTTCTGTTAAGTTTTTATTTCTGTATGTGTATTAGTTGGGGATAAACATTTATCTATGTACCCTGGTGATCATTATAACAAAGACAGAAAATGAATGAAAATCCAAAAATTCTGAGTCATTAAAGCTAAGGTTCAGGGTGAAACCTAAAATTCTGGAGAAGACACATTTCAAACCTAAGAAATCTGGAGCAGTTTGCCCAAGAAGAGTCGGCCATACTAATTGCTGACAGGTGCAGAAGTCTCATTGAGAGATACAGAATTCACTTGCTTGCAGTGATTGCCTCTGTAGTGCTATTAGTAACCTCCTGGCACATAGTTTAAGAAAACATGGCTTGTCTGTTACACAATAGTGACATTCAAAATATCCTAGACCCACTTACTTGGTAATAAATGTCCTAGGTGCATTCTTCTCAGGGTGAAGTTCTTGTCATTGGGTGCTGTGAATGATGGGCGCCAGTTACTTTGAGTAGATTTCAGATACTTTAATATGCATGTGCATGAAGCAGAGTAGGGAGGGAGAATGAGGGAGCACAGGACCACTTGTGCGTGCGGTGGGACCCACGCATGAGTGGGGATGGGGAAGGATGTTTTAAAACGCCCAGCCGCATCTACTACCGTTTATGTATGGCCACTGGATGGGAGGTTGTTAATATGAAGTGTTATCTCTAGCACATCCTGCTGGAGAACACTCAACACAGCAGGTGACTAAGAATAATCAGTGCACACTTAGGGGACACAAGACAGCACAAAGCTAAGCTGATTAATCTGAACTAACAGATCACAAACCTAGGATGAGAATTTGGAAAAATACTACATCCCTGCACCTCTAAAGGCTGTGCAATAAAATATTAAGTTAAAGGTCCCATAATTTTGTCCATTTTCATTTTTTTTAATTTAAAATATTCCGTATAATGAAAAGCAAGGTTTTATTTTTATAAAGCATGGAATAAACAATGAATACCAATTATTGTTGTCAGTTTAAAGTTATTTCAGAGAAACTTGTGGGTTCTTTTTTTTTGAGTAAGGGTACCAACAAGTTTGCCTACCTGTGTATGTACACTTTAAGTCCTATGAATTTTGTTTGAGTTGGTGACCCAGCCTTTATCTCTGTGGTAACCGTAGATAAAAATGCGTTTGGTTGGAAGGCACTTAATTGCAGTTACATGTAATTGTGCTTCAGCTAACAGAGGTGCCCGAAAATTATAATTCACCATCCTTTGTACTGGTATTTGATAGGTCATTGTTTTTCTTAATGAAAGATAGTACAAGTATAATACCAGCTGATTATTTCATTGTCAATATGAATATGTTTAGCCTCATTTTTCAATTCAGGATCTATTACAGGAAAAAAAGTTTATGTTTTGAATCACTGGTTCATGGATTAAATGCTTCTTTCACTTTGAAACAAGTGACTATTAAAATAATTGTACTGCAATTTTGACTAAATAAATGTCACCATTGATTTTCATTAGTAC